GAGATGAGAGATGATCTGGGTATATTGCAAAGGGAGGCCGAAGGCGTCAGCCAGCGCTGTGCATCAGTGAGAATGTAAGGGTGGATGTAGGGGCTGGGGGGGTTGGGGTGCAGAGCCCACCAAGAGTGAGCAGGCTGTGTGCTGGGCTGGCAGCCGGGGGCCCCTTGGAGGAGCAGGCTGGGCTGTGCCTTTCCCTTCTGATTCGAGTATTGCCAACTTTCCCCCATCCTTCCTAAAACTAATGGCAACTTGTGAGCAGCAGTCAGCTTTGGCCTTTTATGGCTTGTGGGCATTTTCCTGCTTTCAGGGCAAGCCTGATTGCTCGGGTATAATGCAGCAGTTTTGCAGCCCCTGGAACCCATTCTTATGTGGGTGTGAGTGCTCTCAGTGGGGACTGCTTAAACAACACGTCTGCGTTTGAAATCCCTCTGTTTGGGGGAAGAAGTGTGGCTTGGATGGTTTGAGGCTGGGTGTGCTGCGCCGTGATGCAGAATGAGCACATTGAAACCCTTTGTGGATTGAGGGACAAGTCATGGGCAGAGCCATTAGGCTTGCTGTAGTTCTGCAGAAGCTGAAAGAGTGCCAGAATACCCTCGGATAAACACAGGATAAACCATGAAACAAAACCTTTGTGCTTCATGCAGTATTTGGCCAAAATGTGGCCATTGTGCCAATAGTGGATGCTGGTGGAATTGAAGCGAGTTGAACTGTACCTGTCCGGGGTGTTTGCTTTCTCTCTTGGGGTACTGGTTTAATTAAACACACCTAACAAAAGTCTTCAGCTGTTGTGAACTTCAAGGGCTCTCAGGGGCTCCTCCTGATAACGTGCCTCTCACTCAACAGGAGATTGGGGTGGGTATTTCTGTCCTTCATGGCGATCATCCTTCTGCCCACTGCAGTGATTCCAACCCCTCCACCCAGGGTTGCCATTGGATTTCACAGCATCTTTAACCAGCAGGTGCTCCAGTCACCTCCCTTTTGCTTGCTTTTGTGGATTTGGGGTTTCTTTCGTGAAAAAGGAGCACCTTTTTCTGCCAGCTGCAGCCCAAACGAGGAGCCAGGCAGTTGTGCCTGTAGGCTGACCCACAGTGCTCCTCTTCAGCCTCAAGAGATCATTAAAAATAACGAATATAAAAATTCCCTTCTGGAATGCGAAGAGAAAAATAATGTCCCCAGAGCCATGCATTCCTGCCCCCATCCCCATCACAGAGCAATGCACGCCTTCAGCCTCTCTGCCACACCAGAGCAAACAGACCAAACGCTGTGCTGTGCGTGTAATCTGGATGTATCTTTTACAATGAATCAAGCACAAACACTCCCAACCAAGTGCCCTCACTCAGCATAGGTCTATTTGCCAAACATGAAGGACGGAGGTGGCTGCCTCTCTGCTTGGTTAAAGTTACAGGGAAGTGTTTTTCTTTAACGTGGAAAAACAATGAGCAGACTGCATGGCTCTTCATCTCCCTTCTCCACACTGCTCCACTGTTGTCTCCACCCTGGTCCCAGGGCGTTGGGCTCAGACTGGGGATAGGGCGAGCTCTCCTTACAGCATTGGCAGCACACCAATAATCCCCAGTTATTTTGGAAAACAAGGCAGACAGGACTGTTATCTTGTTGGAAACTGTGGCTGCTGAGCTGGCATAGCATCTTGAAGCTGAAGTTTTACCCCGTGTTTGCACTCCTCTGACTTTCTGCTTGTGCACAGCTGGTATTTTGCTTTCTCTCATGCTTCTGGTTCTGTTGTGTCAGTGGTCCATGGCTGTGGCATACGTTTCTATTGGTATGAGCCAGGCAGGAATATCTGAACTTTGGGAATAAATGAGCCCTGGTGAGCAGCATATTGCATTTCTGGCTGACTGATTCTTATCTCTTATGCTGTTGAACACACTGACCATTTTCAGTCAATGGTGCTTTAATGTGCCAAGACTTCTGCTGCAGGGCACTTCTGAGCTCTCAGAAGGAGCCAGAAAGCAGAAAGCAAAGACGAATATCAGATCTTGGGTGGTTGGACTAGATGATCTTGCAGGTCGTTTCCAACCTTGTGATTCTGTGATTCTGTGATCTGGAGGTTGGTACCTGGGGGAGAGAGCTTGGTGATCCTCGAGGTCCTTCCAACCCAGGCCATTCTATGATTCTATGATTTGAAGACCACTAGAATGTAAACTAAATATGAACATTTGCTTTTCCTCTTCCTCCTCTGCTCTTTGGCAGGATGTTTCCTTTCTCTGCTGTCTCTCCATCTCAGATGTTGTCACTTGGATGCTGAATGCTGCATGGCGTTGGTCTGTTGGGGTACAACAGTGTGCAGCAGTGGTGTGTGGCACGGGGAGCCCTCATGCTGCAGGGGGGGTCTGTGGCCAGCCTGCTGTTACCTGCAGTGCTCAGAATGAACCCTCCATGAGATGCTTCACCACACCGGAGGATCCTGCTTGGGGAAATGCAGGATCAACAACACTCTGCTGTCAAAATATCTGCCCTTCGAGCTTTCAGAATCTGATGGGTCAAAACACATTGCCCACAGGCAGCACATCCCTGTGATGTACCATTTGCTCAGGCCGTGAGGCTTACAGCTTCCTACCATCTCACCCTTCTGAAGCAGCAGCCTGAGGACAGCAGCTCCTGCAGAATGATGTCAGTGCTGGGGTGACCCCAAAGGAAACATCTGGATCATTGAGAAAGAGAAGAAGGTTCAACCCCACTCAAACAGAGAACTTCATTCAGATGGTCCCCAGGAAAGGAAAGGAAAGGAAAAAATTATTAATACTGATATTTACACAGGGGGGAAAAAAGTCACTTTGCAGAAACCACAGCCTCTGCTGAAGGAAAATTCCTGAGCACATCTAACAGAGCCATCAGCAGCTCACTAATGCTGCAGTGTTCACTAATGCTTAATAGTTTGTCAGCGTTTCCATTCGAAATCCTTTCTGAAGAGCTTCATGAGAAGGCTATAAAAATCAAATGGAAGCGCAAAGCCTCATCCTGTTTGTGTGTTTGCTTTTAAATACACTTTTGGAAGGACATGGAAAACCATTTTCAATGCTGCAGGCAGATGAGAAAGAAAGCAAGTGCTCATTGGGATGGGTTTCCTTGCAGTCTGAAGGCTTTGTCTCTGAGCTGTGTCCTGCTAACTCGCTGCTGCTCGGAGCTCAGCACCTCTCCCATCCAGCAGGACTTTGCTAACAAGCATCAGGATGATTCTATCCAATTGTTTGCTCAAATCAGAGCCGTCCAGGAGCAGGTGCTGCTGGTGGCAGAGCAGTGCTGGAGCATCCAGAGATCCCTCTGCCTGGAGCTGGCAGCCTTCTCAGCCCCCAAGCCTCAGGTTTGCTTCCATCCAAAGGAGTGTCAGATTAACTGATTAATCTGTGATTTATTTCTCTCATTCTCAGAGCTATCAAAGCGCAGCTGTTTTCATTCATGAGCCCTGAGGGCCTGCCTTTATTAAGTGCAATTAACTTGAAGTGAAGGCATTAGAACACGAGCTGCTGAAAAGTGTTTCATTGGGTAAAAAAGTGAAATGGAATCCACAGAGAAGGAAAGTAAACCAAAATCCATAACGTTGGCTGGGTCACACAGAGACCTCTGGCAGCACCATTTCCCCAAGCCTGCGTGTCTCCCCAAACCAGACATCTTCCCCATAACCCTTTGCTTTCCTTCTCGTTGGCATCCCCACTAAGCCAGGAGCTCTTTTGGGTGGTATCTTCCTCTTTGCTCTCTGTGTTTCCCAGTAGCTCAATGGGGCTCTTCCAAGTGTGTCCCAGCAGCTTCAGAGCCTTTCATTTTTCTTGTCAATGCATTCATTTTGCAGACTCATTACTCATTTTTCCCCGTTGCACAAAGCAATTTCCAGTTGCGTGTGACCAACCCTTGTGCATGAAATCTCCCTTGAGGAGCTGCATCCAGCAGAGGTTTGGCACACAAGAGCTGCTCCAGGTGGGAGAGAAACACCCAGGGAGCCTCTCCTGCAGGCTGAGCTCGGGCACAGATTCCGTCCTGCTGCAGTGTGGGGTCTGGATGATTCTCTTTGCACAGTTCAGGGAACTGGCTGTCAGCTCTGCGTGCTGTGGCTCCAACAAAGGGAGACGCTGCTGTTTGGATGAGGGACACCAGCAATGCCAAAATCTTATCCCCTGTGCCGCAGGGACACGAGGAGCTGGTGATAAAACCTCAGTTTGGATGGAGCTGGGAGGACCTCAAACAATCGAAGGCACAGCCGGGCAGGAGCTCACCATTCTGCAGCCGTGAATAGAAGGAAGAAGCTGAATGTCAGGAAGCGTGCTGTAACAATGCACGCTGTGAGGCTGCACCGAGGCTCCCGAGGGATGCACCGGGCTGCAGGACGGATGCTGGGCGATACCATCACGTGCATACGGACAGCAGTCCTTCAGCACTGCAGCACGGTTTGCAATAGGCAGGGAGCAGAGCGCTGCTATTGCTAGCAACGTCCTCACACGGCGCTTTTTGATGCAGGGCTTTAAAGGGGTTGTTCCATACGGGGAGGCTGCGGATTGCCGTGCTGCACAGGCTGTCGACCCCGAGAGGAAGCCTTCTCTGCGCATTTCCTTAAGGAGTTTCTATCAATCCCGGTCATGCTCCCTCTAGAGGGCTGCTGCTGCCCTCGTAATCCCGTGGCGCAGTGATCTCCCGTCGCATCTTTGGGATCCCACTCTGTGCGCAGTGGTACTTCGGTGCTACGGAACAATTTGGGCTGTGCTGCAAAGGGGGGATTGGATGTCCCACTGCTCACGGCCCCATCAGGATCCCCCTGACCCAGAGACTGGGAAATGCCACCTGCACAGCGGCATCATCCACGGAGAGCAGAAACAGAGCTCTATGGGTACGATCCATGGAGATCTGGAGAGTCACACACAGCACCACAGCACGCAGCAGCATGGCTGCTATCAGAGGGTGTGTGGGAACTGTAGATCACGGCCTGAACCTCGGATTGAGCACCTGAGGCGAGCCATGAGTCAGCCCTGGGAGCACAGGTGAAGGCAATTCTGTGCTACTGGAAGAGGTGGAACCTGGCTGCACCTCTCCTGGACCCCATTTAAGAGCTGACTGCCAGTGGGGAAGGGTCTCTTCTGGAGATCATTCCTTGTGGAGTTTACTGTGAGCCTACAACATTGGTAAGCATTTTCATTTATCACCTTTCCACTGTAATAATCCTACTCAGCCTAACCTCTTTACACCTATTGGTGGCACACCTATTGATGGCACACCCAACTCGATAGAAATATGCTGGAAGAGATGGGAAATTAAATATTTCTGGTTTTCCTTGGTGATCCCTAACAGCTGGGATGGCTGGGGGCTTCCCTCACACCCATGGCAGAGGGGGACCCTTTAGGGGTATCTCAGCACAGGGAATGCTGAGTGAGAAGTGCTGCTGCATTGTGCTTCAGCCCCAAGCACTGCCAGCAAAGCCTATTAACAGAGCTAATTGCAGCAAGGCGGCTGCTTTGCTGCTGCACACACAGCCCAGCAGCGTCATGCAAACCAAAGCAGCGTTATCCGTGTTGCACCAGCACTTACCTCCTCCTCTCCAGCAGCCCATTGTTGGCAGCCCTTTGGCACCCCGTCAATCTGATTGCAATTAAGCTCTTAACAAAGCAGCCTTCAAGGCTGGCCGTTCGGGTTTTAATTGTTGGTGCTCTGAAAGGCTCTGCACAATGGGTATCACGGGGAATATACCACAAGCTGTAGTGGTAATGCCCTTGTTTGATGGTCTTGATAATTTCTGTGACTCATGGAAGCTATTTTGGTAGTGCCGTGTTTGTTTATCTGATTGCAAAGTGATTTCAGAGGGGAGAAAATGACGTCTTCAATGTCCTGCAGTAGGGCAATGTTTTCCTGAAGCATTTTTCTACCAGCAAAAGGTGTTCCCAGGGTTTCTTTCATTGGAGACTCCAAACAACAGCTGTGTTCCTGATGCAAGTAGGGTCATGTGTAGCAGAGCAGGAAAATGGGGAGATCTTGATATAGATATCAAGGTCTGGCTGTGTTGCCCATATACCAGTGTGAAAATGAAGCAAAGCCTGGGATTCACTTTGGAAATAGCTGCATTTACAGCTGAAGATGGAAGTGTTGAATTAAGCTGATTTCTTGTTGTCTTGTCCTACATCAGTTTCCAGAATGCAGAAGTCCTCTGTGCTGTGCTCTGTCATCCTGCACTGCCTGCAGCAACAGCAGGGAGCCCATGAACACCCAACTGCCCCCCAAAATGCAGCCATTGCCCTTCCCAGGTTCTTTCTAACACTCTTTTATCTCTTTGTTTTGCCCATGATCTTTATATTTTGTAATTCCGTGAACTGCTCTGTACATCTGTGCTGAAACAATGTAAAAGTAACGTTGGGTTTGACCAGATAAGCATCAGACAACTTCCTTTCTTCTTAATCTAGAAGTATCTCGTGGTAATTCAGTGCAAGAGGAGAACCTGGGGGTTTCCCTGATGCAGGGAGAGGTCTCTCCTCCAGCATTCAGGCAGGAAATTTGGCCTGAAATTACAAACAAGTCTCACTGGCGTTAGCCCACAACCCAATGTTCGTATCCACACCATATGTGATGGGACGGAATGAATGAAGGGTGAGAATGAATGAAGGTCCCCAGGAGGGGAATCGGGACAACTTTTCATGGAGAGAGGCAGTGAATGGGCCAAGCATTGCTCCCACTGCAGTGCAAACACCTGGCACCCAGGGACACATTGGATTGTCCTAGCAGCCTGTCACTGGTACAGGACGCAGCGTGCAGCTTGGGTGGGTGCAGCAATACAGACCAGCCCAAAGGACAGGGCTCTGAGCCACCACTTCCTGCAGATACGGGCAGCTCAGGGCACGCATCTCAGCGTGGTCTCCTTGTCAGACTTCATAACCGGCGCTGTGGTTCAGAACAAAGCCGGGTGCTGCCAGCAGATAACAGCAGATGGTTTTGGAGGGCTTCCTCGGGGTGCCTGAGTTGTGGGCTGGCTGTGTGAGACACCTGGACACTGCTCTGCTGCTGCCAACGGGCCATGGGGTGGGGAATGCAGGTGTCACGGTGCCGTGCACAGGGTTGGAGGGCACAGCACTGCATGGGGAGCACGTTCAGAGGTGATGAACGTTCAGCCCTGGGAGCGTGGCTGCTGTGGGGCACTTCAGCATCGTTCCATGGGTGATGAGTTTCTGTAATAATTTGCAGTTCCTCAATCGCCGTGTGCCCTTGATGAGGTGAACAGATGTCCTTTGGAGGGCATGGGCATTCCTGTGGTGCTGTTGGGTTGAAGAAAGAGCATCTAGGAGGGGAAAAAAAAAGAGAACAGACTGAAAAAATTCTTGTTATCCTATAGTGTGTGTGCTGCTGGGAGGAGGAGTGTGAGAGGCAGCTGGCCATGGCTGGGAATGGCCACCCTGCCAAGGAGCACCCTGATAAGGATGAAAATCCCAGTGTAACACTTCCCTTTGTTATCAGAGGGAAAGAAACACTTAAAAACATTGTTTTCCCAGGGGAAAGCAGCACCAACAGAGCAATGACTTTTTTCTTTAGCTTGTTCTCTGTTGACTAGCTGACACCAGCATGGCCATTCAGGCTGAGCATTCCCTGCCGCTTCACCCATCTCTGTGGATGCTCTGAGTTCAATCAGCTCCTGGTTCAGTGCATACCCTTCCTTGGTCAGGGCTGCAGGTGTGGTGTTCAGCAAAAGGAAAGCCAGGGTGAGTTTTCAGGGAATCCAGCTAGCAAATGATGCACTCACAGCCCACCAGCTTGCTCGGTACTTTTGGTACTTCTTGTAAATGGCTTTTATTAACCTCATGATTCCAAATGGCCCGGCTTCCAAACTCCTCTGCAGGGCCTGGCTCTGTGCTGCATTACAACGTGCCCAGAGGGAAGCACTGGAGCAATTCAGAGAGACAAAATGTGCTTAGAATCCATGGAATCTGCTCGGGATCTTGAGGCTGTCATCCCACTTCATGCAGCACGCTGACAGCCACACGTGGCACATAGCTTGCAGATGCCCCATCCCAGCAGGGCGACGGAGTGGGACTGAGCATCCAGTGCAGGGTGCTGCTGTGTATTGCTGTGTGCCACAGCAGGGCTCTGGTGGCCTTGTGACACAGCATTCTCGTGGGAATTCACAGTGATTTCTCACACAGTGACCAGTGGGTGCTATATTTGTCCTGGTGCTGGCACGTCTTTAAATAGCAGAGGTCACACTCCAAGTTTCCCATTTAAAGGGCTCAGCACCATCGCTTTCACTGAGTGCAGCTCTTCCAGAGCCATCTGAAAAGGAGCAGAGCCTCCTTGAGCACCGCTTTGATCCCACCAGCACTGTTCTGAACAGAAATCATTGCCAGTCGCTCCCTTTCTGTTGAGTTTTTGTTATACCCATTCTGTAAGCATTTTTCCTTTCTTTTTTTTTTTTTTTTTTTCTTTCTCTTCCCTTCCCAAACCACCTCCTCCCATCTCCCAGATCCTTCTGAGCTGCCCTCAAGTTGCTCATCTCCATTCTCATTGCAGCCTGCTGGTTCAAGCTGCCCTCGCTGCCTCACCTCGGATCAGTGCCTGATTTCCAACCATCCCCTGAGAAGCATGACCTCACCTTTTTGGCTAGGGTGCCCTGCTCCAGCACTGCTGGGACATCTGTTTGCAATGTGAGGGATAGAAAACCATTGCCTCCTTTCTTTTGTTTCCATCATCTTGGTTCTTTGCACTTAGACTCAGCTCCTGCTAATTTGTCATGCTGATGGCTGCACCTCTGAGCCCAGCAGTGCTTTCAAGCTGCCCCAACTGAGTGAGGCCAGCCCAGCCTTTTGCTTCCCAATCTCTTTCTTTCTGATGTGATTTTAGTTATTCTTCTGACTATGCTGTCTTTCAGTGAGGATTGCGTTGGCAAATGGCTGTTCAATCTGAGCTTTCTGCAGCACCAAAAAAGTGCCAGGCATGGGAAATGAGCCAGAGGAGAGGCCCTTCTGGGTGGAAAGAGGTGATTGCAGCAGCTCTACAACTGTTTCCAGTAATGGTCCTTTGTTTGGAGAAGGAGAGAAAGATTCTCCTGATGACGGGAGAAAACTTATCCAGTGCATGGGGTGACCGCTGGGGTTGGGGTTGGGGTTGGGTTGCAAGAGGGTGGAGTGAGAGTGAACTTCAAGGTTCTGCTTTCCTCATCCTCTGAGCCCTCAGGGGCAGCAGAGCTCTCTGTGTGTTGGCTGTGTGCTTCAAGCTGTGCAGGAGGGAGGTATGCAACCCCTGCAGCTCACTTCCCAGAGAGAGAAGGGATGAGGAGCCCAAATGGCACTGGCTGCATTTGGGGAACACTGGAGAAGGTGGAGCTGTGGGAAGCACCACAGCTTCTCACCACTGCAGAAGCTTTGCTCTCCTGTTGGTGACCCTCCTTGTTTTAGTTGTGCCATGAACACGTGTATGACAGTCACTCTGTCTTTGCAATGTCAGAGTTAAACTTTCCCCTTATTTTAGCAGAACACATGGTTTTGCTTAGCACTGGCTGAGGAATTACAAGCCGTATGTCTTGAATATGTATCTGCCAAGGTAAGTAATCTCTGCTGTGAACTTGAACAATCAAAGCTCGGGGTTATTTGTTTTCCTATGTATAGATTAGCCAGCTGCACGTCTCCAACATTGGTGGATGTTTTTGCTGAGCACACCCCCATGGTTGCACTGAGCCATCACTGGGAGGGGACCTGGGAGCCCTGCAAAGCACAGTGAGCCATGGCTATTGCAATTTCCATCATCAGGTCCTTGCAGAAAGAATATCAGGTACAACAGGAGCTCTTCAGTAAGTAATGAGTCAAGGTATCCCTTTAAAGCTGCTGTCATGGCTGCGTGGGCACAGGCAGCATTTTGGGACCGTTTTGTTGGTTTGCACAAGCTGCTTCTGCAAAGAAATTTCATTTTGCACTCTTTGGCACTTAGGATTTACCTCTTATCTTGTGGTTTAAACATAGGTAGGTGTGAATAGAGCAGTAGAGTCAATCCAGACTGCACAAGGAGTGAGGAAATGCACTGTTTTGGTTGTCTGCACAATTTTTGCACCAGGAAGAACAGCACTTTCCCCATCAGATGCTGCTCTGCATAGTGCACAGAATGATAAGCAGCAGGTTGCAGGGCTTGGAAAACTGTCTTGAGTCTATGTAAAGAGTTTATCTATCTCAGGGGCTTTACTTATTGCCTGCTTTCAAAGGATTCTTCAGTGCCAAATGGATTCCTGGGTATGGTTGGGAGAAAATATCAGAATGGGATTTGGAAGCTATCCATCATAATGTGCCTTTATAGCACAGAGCAAAAGAGATTTGAAACGTGGGGGCTAGCTGATAACAGGCTGCATTAAACACCCATTTGTTTTGGTCCTGGAGCTGTTTGTGTGCACGAAGCACTGCAGGATCTCTTTTCTCCCTGGAGCCGGGCCCTGAAGGATGGCATCAGCTTGGCTGGAAAACCTCCACCTGTGCTCCTGGCAGGGCTTGCATGCAGCCATCCTTTGCTGCTGGAGCCACAGGTGGAGCAGCAGCAGGCACAGAGCCTGCCAGGGCTGGAGCTCAGCAGAAATGCATCCAGAGAGCAAAGCTCGGTGCTCTGAGTGGCACAGGCAGTGGGATGCAGGCTGCTCTGTGCTCAGTCTGCATCCCCCCTCTGCAGGGAGGTGTGAGGTCAGGAAGGAAGGAAAGTGTCTGCTCCCTCCTGCCCCAGGGAGCAGCTTGCAGGGAAGGAGCAGGAGGAAACAGGGATTGCTGCAGGGATCACCATCCGGCTCTCCAACAGCACTGCTGCCCCACACCAGCACAGATAATGCAAAAAATCCATCATCAAAGGGACATAGAGACAGTGAAATCTGCTCAGCACAGCTCCCAGGGCTGTGACCTGCGTGTGAGCTTTGCTCAGCTAGGGACAGGCAGGAACCTGGCTCTGCCTGCCACGTCCTGAGGGTTTTGTTAGGTCCACGGAGCATTGCTCTGATTCATTTGGGGTTCTTGTTGCTAATGTACCCGGGAGGATTTCCTGAGCTGCATCTATTCTGAGCCCTCTGAGCCACAGCACTGAGGTGTCTCAGCAGGACCTGAGCACAGCGAGCCCTGTGTCAGCCCCCAGGCTCCAAAATAGCCCCGACCCCGGGGATGAAAGGAGCCCACAGCACATCCACAAAGCATTGCAGTGGAGCACGGGGACCTGGTGGCCAATGCCACCATGAATGTGCTGCTTGTGGAGGCGGACGTGCCGCTCACACAGGCACTGAGGCTGTGCCGTCAATGAGATCTTGTTCAGGGCTCTGCTGCTTCGGTCCTCATTGAACGTGGAAGCTGCTGTGAATTTGATACCTCCAGATTCAAACTCCATTACAGAGCACAGAGGGGGGAAGAGGAGAACTCGCTGAGCTGGATTTTCAGGTACACTCAGCCCTTCTCACCAGTTTTTTTTCTCCTTTTTGCTGGCTCTCCATATTAGAGAAAGCAGAGAGCTTGGCGCAGCTTTAGAATCCCCTGCCAGCATGTCAGCCCCCAGCAGCTCATGGGTCACTGGGGGGGAAATAACCCACAGCTGCAGTGTGCCATAGAGGCAGCCCCTCCGCCATGGACAGCAGGGAGATGTCATTCACAAGGGGGGTTTTGTACAGAGCAGAAATCTGGCGTGAGAGCTGCAGGGCACTTCTCTGCCCATTGGGTTTCCCAGACCCCAGCACCCACAGCTCAGCACTGGGATGCTCAGCTCTGCCAGAAGGGCAGCAGCATTGCTCTGGTGTCTGAGCAGTTCTTTAGGGAGGTTCTAATTAGCGGGCAGGCATCCTGTTAGGTCAGGACAATTATATTGACTTTTTCCATTTTCCAGGGGAGCCAATTAAGCTGCCGGCTGTGGGGCTGAGCTGCTGCCTCTCCGTGAACCTGGTGGAAAACTGAGAGAGATTTTTCCTAAAGCTGAGCAAACTGGGCTTCTGGAAAGGCAGCTGGAGCCAAGAGCAGGCAGGTAGAAATTAAAAGAATTAGAGACTTAGCCTGAGCGTGGCGTGCAATGCTGTAAGCTTGGAGGACACTCAACATTGTTTTATGGCCCTGAGATGACTGTAGAACACTGCAAGCATCCCCAGGCTGCCTCTATCTCACACGGACCTGGAACTGCACAGAGAGTGAGCAGCAAGGTGTGAGGCACAAGCTGGGGCTTCAGCACAGCGATAGGCACAGCAGTGCCTGTGGGTGGCTCAGATTCATCTCTGACACCATAGGTTTTCCATACTAATAATAATTAATCTGTACACTGCCTGCTACCTGGCTGGGGTGGCCGCTGCCTCAGCACTCTGTGTGTCAGAGCAGAGGAGATGCAGCTAGAGCAAAGGTGCACTCTCTGCCCATTTTTGGGTCCTGGCTGTAGGGCACACGCAGGACAGTGCGCACTGTAGCAACACAGAATGAAGTCCTGATGGATCACAAGGTGAAGTGCAAACCCCATTGAACGGGTCCTGGGCATCAAATCAGGCTCCCATAACGGCCTCAGCCGTCGCCTGGCTCTGCTCTGTCAAGTTACACTGCACAATAAAACCATATAGGAAAAGAGCAAATGGACACTGCCAGATTGATTTTCGTTTGCCTGGTGTTTTTTTTTTTTAGCTCAGTGTTGAGGAAAGGCTTCGGTAGGAAGCAGTAATGTTATTCATCTGGCTGTAAGAACTGCTGGGTTGGGTGTCTGTTGCCATGCTTGATACCTTGCAGCTGCTCAGGGTTAGTTAATTATCTGCTTAGAAGAGGAATTCATATTTTCACAGGGTGACTGGAAGGCGGATGGAAACGTGCAAGAGAGCAGAAACACAAATGTTTGGGCAGAGCTGGAAAACGCTTCCCACAGCCGACCACGCAGCTGCAGCTCATGCCAAATGCTGTTTGCTTTCTGGGTGATGGATTTGTCATAAGGGCTAAGTTGCTGGGATAGCTCAAAGTGAGCACAGCCATGGCTGGTGCAGAGCTGGGCTCTGGGGGAGCAGCGTTACGCTTGGTGTTGGTGTGATCTCAGGACACCGCTGCCATCCCTGCGCTGGCACTGGGGAGGGTTGTGCCCAATGATGGGGACGTGCCCTCGGTCCCCCATCTCAGTGATGGCATTGCAGGGTTGCTCCATGTGAGCGCGGTCGGAGCCGTGCTGGAGCCCTGTTCAGTGGGACAATGGGCAGCTCTGGGTGCAGCACTCGAGGTCTTCCTGCAGGCTTCCTGAGGGCTGCCCTCGCCCCGTCTGCAGCCCTGGGACACGCAGCCCGGCCATGCAAGCACAGTGCAGATGGGAACAGGTCCACTGCTGGTGCTGGGGAGGGAAGGAGAGCCCAAGTCTGGAGAGGGAACAGCGTCCTTCTCCCATTCCCCCGTCAGCAGGTTGGCACTGAGGGCTGATCACGTGCTCATGTTGGAATTTAAAGAATATCTTTGCTCGTGTTTGTTGAAAAGCACAAAATGAAACCTTGCCTTGTTCAGTCTGTTCAGTCTCTCCCTTCCTTTCAGCTTTTTCAGCTAATAATAGGCACATGTAAGCGATTAGCATAACCTCGTGTGACTTCCCTAGTGTTTGTGCAATCCTCAACATGTGCTTTATCTTCTGGGCACCAAGTGAAAGCGTTTGGCACTTCTCACAGAGCAGCTTTGCCATCCCTCTGGGATGCTGAGCAGCCTCTATAGCAGCCCCCCATGCTCCCCACACCCAAAGAGGATCAGTTACTTTGTTCTGATCAAAAACACCTTTTAAATTTAATCATTTAATTTTCAAGGTAGTTGTTCACTTTGCCTGTGCTATGTGGTTTCAGTCCTCGGTTCCCTTCTTCGTTGCTAACAGAGATGTTGGGCAGCTGTGGGCTGCCTGGACAGGTCCTGTCTCCATCCCGTTCTTCTGACCCCCACATCCTTTCCCTTGCCTGGGTGGAGCGATGCCAGATGCCAAAGTTAGAGGGGAAAAATGAACTACAATCTCAGAAAATACTTATTAACCATTCAATAGTTGGGTCTTGGTGCCCCATTTGCTCCAGCTGGGAAGCAGTTCCCAAAGGAGCCCAACTGTTTTGAAGGCTCATTACTGACATTGTGAACTATGTACCACACCCAACGAGTTAAAGAACAACACAAGTAATGCAGAGCAAATGAGCATTGGGATTTACAGCTTGGCTGGTTACACAGGTTGTGGATGAGCCGCTCTCTGCTTCATGCCTGGGATTATTTTCCAGGCAGTCTGGGGGAGGTGGAGAAATAAAAGCAGGTTTATGCTGTCCACAAGAAGGGTGATGCTGTGCTGCAGTAGCAGTGAGGATAATACTGATCCTGCTGGAGCTCCTGCAGATGGAGCAGAAATGCCATCGTGTGTGAGGACAGGTAGAGGAAGACGCACCACGATTTGAGCTATTTGGTTTATCTCTGTTTGTGGCTTGGGGCTGGGAGTCTGGAAGTGTTTTGGCATTTCCTAAATGCCTCTGATAAGCGGGGTAGGAGCCCCTCTTGGGAACCAGGGAAGGTCTGCTGGGAATGGGAAAAGCCACGGCCAGGGCTGCGTGCATGGGCTGAGCTGAGCAGCCCTGTGCTGGCAGAGCCAGGATGCTTGTGGCTGCGTTTCTGATGTCCCTGCTTCTAGGACATGAGTAATCAGCTCATAGGCCATAAAAAAGCAGATAAGCTCTAACAGAGGTTAAAACACAGAGGGCCCCATTATCTGTGGCTGGCCTCTATCATCTGCCCCTGCTCTGAGCTCTCCCAGGAACCTCATTTCTCTGCAGTTTGACCCAAAGCACATCTGTGTGCCACTTCCCTGCAGCTGCTGTGTGCGTTCACATCCGCTGGGAGACATGGGGCAATGGGGCACTGCATGGGAAAAAGGAGCCACGGAGCATCTCAGCATCCCAAGGCACCCGTTGGGGCTGCAGGGACAAATAGGGTCTCTCCACCAGAAAGCAGCTCTTCCTGTCTGTTGGACCACAAAACCCGTGCTTGAGACACAGCACAACACCTGGAGCTTCCAGGGAGAGGAGCTGCAGTGCTGCAGCAGCACATCTGTGCATGGAAGCATTGCATCTCATGAATCCAAACCCCACCCAGCAGCAGCGCAGGACCCGGGCGCCCTCCTTACTCCAAGCAGCACTCAGTGCTATGGAGTGAAGTAACTGGGCAATTTAATTAATTGTCACACATACGAGGTACCACAAAATGATTTTAAGGCAAAGGGTCAAGCTGGTTTCCCTTTCTTTTACATTTAAACCCGTTCTCATTGTGTGCAGAGCTTATCTGGGATAAAGCGTTTCACAGTCAACATGCACAGCACCACATTCAGCCAGGAAACGTCTTTTTGTCCTTTGTGTTCCGTTGCTTCTCTCTTTTTTTTTTTTTTCCCTTAAACTTTAAATGGATCCTCCTCTAAATCTCAAGGTCACTGTTGAATATTTGGAATAGTTGGTCGGATGCCAAAGTATTTTCATTGCTGGCGTTTCTCTCCTTGGAGAATTATTGCAGACAATGAAATGTGGCTTCTTCTACATTTGTGTCGGGGAGGACCCCCCCCAAGGCAAGCAGTTGTGTAACCTGGACCTTGGCTTGAGTTTTGTACTGCCTTGAGTGGGACAAAGAGTTTCATGGTGTGTTTGATTGCCAAAACTCCGGCTGTGGTGTCGCAGAGGTCCCGTTTTGGGGCTCCGTAAGGAATTGTCACACATGGCACAGTGGAGCCCACTGCAGGAAGTGGTTGGCTGCTTGGTGGTTTGGATCGAGCATCTGAATGGGCCCCACCTTCCTGTATCACAGAGTCATAGAATCACAGAACAGCCCGGACTGGAAGGGACCTCAAGGATCTGAATCTCAGCCCCCTGCCGCATGCAGGGCCGCCAACCTCCACATTTCATAGCAGCCCAGGCTGCCCAGGGCCCCATCTGACCTGGCCTTGAACACCTCCAGGGATGGACGGGGCATCAGAGCCTTTCTGGGCAGCTGTTCCAGCACCTCACCGCTCTCATAGTACAGAACTTCCCCCTGACATCCAACCTCCATCTGCCCTCCCCCAACTCCAAACCATTTCCCCTTGTCCTGCAGTTATCTACCCTTCCAAAGAGTTGACTTTGCCATTTGGTGATATGTTTTTGGAATTTCACAGCAGAACAAACCAGTGAAGCTCTGTCTGTGATGCTCTCCAAAGACACCCAATGACCACTGTGTTGTTTGCCTCACCCTGAGCTTTATTTGCCCCAAGGAAGACATTACTTCCTTCTGTGTGAACAAACCTGTGCTCAAACAAAATGTGTTCATTTTCATTTCCTTCCAGACCACAACTTTCAGTCCTGCCCTGGGGCGATGCTGACACGCGGTGCCTGCAGGGCACTGTGGGGTGGAGCTGTGCATCTCCTCTCCTCTCTCCCATCCCCACGGCTCCCTTCCACCTTGGGACCCTCCACTATCTCCCACTGCCAGCACTGCAGTTTGTTTGTGCATTCCTTTCTCTACTCCTAATGAAAATCCAAGCAGCCTGCAATGGGAACAAGCCCAGCCCATGGAGGGGGGAAGAGCTCTGGGCAGAGTGGGGTTGCTTGAACCTTTGTGTGCAAGTAATGTGGGGTGGATGGTGAGGTTTGCAGTCACAGTAAAACTCACTCGGGGCCATCCTTAGAGCATCACCTGCTCCTCGCCCTTTGCAAGGCTGCACACAGCCCCAGGATGGTGGTTTCCCCAGCCCTGAAACCCAGCTGCCATCAGCAGAGGTGCTGTTATTTTGTTACCATCTCTTTTCTGGCTCACTCACTATTTTCTTGACACAGTTGCCTCCAACATCTGCTTCTCGTCTCTGCTCTGTGGCTGTGGATGCATTCAGAAATGCCTTTCTTCTTTCAGCTGCTTGATGTGCCTCTTGTCTTGTCAACAAAACTCGCAGCTAACTGAATTAAAAAATAATTGTCAAAGTGGCTATTGCATATTTTACCCACAAGTAATTCAATTCAGCTTCCTTGTCATGGAACATGGGGAAAAACAGCCAGGCGAGCCTGAAACTGCTCAGGAGTCCAGAGCTAAGCTGAGCTTGTCCTGCAAGTTGAACTGAGAGCTTCTCTCTCCTTTCTACCAGGCAGCTTTAGCAACTTTCCCAGTCTCAGGTTCTGTGCAGGATGCTCAGGACCCGACCTGGGGCTCAGCATCACAGCCCAGGATCTGTGCCCAGCGGGCATCCAGGTGACAGCAGCTCCTGGTAAGAGGCTGTTCTGAATGTCATGGCTGTCCCAATGTCAGCTGTGTCTGATTCTTTGACTTGTGTCATCTGTTGGCACAAAAACTCTCCGTTTTGTGCTCCAGCTCTGCCTGCAGCTGCCCTCACTTCTCTCCTCCCCCATAAGCACAGGCTTGCTGCTTCTGGATAACAGAGGCTGCAGCTCTGAGGCATTGCTGAAAAAGCAAAAACAACTTCTGCCCTCAGCAAGGAGCAACGTTTTGCCTGAGCTGGAGGTCAGCAGCTCCACGATCTGCACAGCACTGCCTCCTGCCTCTGATATACCTGCAGCCTCCTCAGAGAAAAGCCCTTTTTCTTCTCCAAATGTCTCAATCCGTGTGACATTTTTTCTATTCCATGTTATTTATATCTTGGACAGAGCTTGCCCTTAGGATATAACATCTCTCCCTGGTGCAGTGTTTCCGTATTGCTGTGTCTGAACCTCTCTTGCATCTTGTTTCAGCCACCTAACAGCACATCTGTGCTTTCTCATGTAAAATAACAACACTGAGCCCCACAGCTGGGGGTATCCCAAAGCATCCCCCACCCCTCCAGCCCCACCAGAGATCCCAGATGCCCCACAGATGATCTTCAGTGGTCTTTTCCAACCTCCATGAAGGCTTCTAGGATTGTATGATTCAAAACGGCTTTACAAGGAGGAAAATGCAGAGTGTGGGCTGGGTGGGGTCTGTGGGGCAGCACCAGAGGTCCCAATCCCAGGGCTGGGGTCTGCCAGGGCCGCATCTGTGCTTTGCTTCAGTAGACACAGGAAAATCTAATTTGTTGCTGCATGTTTGCAGGTCTGAAAATGTAAACTGCACTGAAGTATTTGCTTATAGCATGACCTCTGAACCCGAGGCTTGCTCTCTGCTCTGGGGTGAATTCCAGCTAACCACTGTGCTGCTGTGTTTACAAGAAAAATGCATGTTTTCTGCATTCTCAGGGCCACAGCTTGTCTCGTTAACAATGTTCTTTGGGAAAAGAAGGCAAGCCAGCCCTGCTGCCCTGCCAAAGCTGTCAGATATTCCTCTTCTTCTCCTTCAAGAAAGAAAGAAAAGAAAAAGAAGCTGCAGGACAGGCAGGCAGGCAGCTCTTGTGAAGGATGCTGGCTCCCCACTGTGGCAACGAGTGTGAGCTTACTGCTGTGTGTGGCGCATCCCAGCTGGGGTGCGATGGATGGCAGTGGGGTGCAGCACCCAGCCCTCACCCTGCAGGAGCTGCATGGGGTGAATTGTGCCTCCTGCAACGCAGGCACTTCCCCACGGCCCTGCAAACAGAGTGCTTTGTGCCCGGCGCTGGGTCACAGCCACACTGAGCTCCATCCTCGAGGGAAAGCCAAAAACAATGTGTGTGTGAAATCAAAACATTGCAGATGCTTCTTATTGGCGCTGCTGACATCGAAAAGAGAAACAGATGCTTCTGGTCTGGCTGTCTGTCCGGCCTGATTTTAGGAGAGGAAATAAAGTAAGAATTGAGCTGTGCAGTCCGTCACATCTGTGGTGTTGGGTGCTGTAAATCCTGGGTGTGTGGCTGTGGCAGATGTCAGCCGTCAATGAGCACCGTGGTCTGAGGAAATAGCGCTGCCCAGCAGAGGGCCCCTGGCGTTGGCTTTATGGTCAGGGAAGGTAGAAGTGGAGCGAGGCATTAAGCAGAGATTCTGGCTGTCTGACTGAGAAATGCCTGGAGAAAGAGGGTCTGAAAAGTAGGGTGGAGGGAGGTGTGATGGCTGGCTGTCCTTCCTTCCCTAAATACCATGCAGCCTCTGCTGCAGCTGCTAATCCTGCACCAAAGTGATTAAGGTCACGTAACAACTCAGGTAAAGAGTCTTGCCTGTCCTGGTTGGACTGTCCAAGCACTCCCACTGCACAGCCCGGGTTTGGTGCATTCAAACTTCCATCTGCTGGGGCCAATGAAAGGTGGGTGACGTGGGCATCGTCTCCCTGGCAATGACACCACCACAGCAGCCATGGAACGGTGGTCACCTCTGCCGGTGCAGATCTGCACGTGCATGCTATGCAAGCCTTTGCTCATTGCTGGTGAAAATGCAGAGCTGATGGCAGTGACCGCGTTGGAAGTCAGTGTTTCATAGCCAAGGATATCCTCTGCCTATAAAAAAAGTGTCATAAAGCTCTCTGTATGACCAGCTTCCATGGCAGTAAGCAGGAGGCATTACTTTGGGAGCGACCCACGTGAAACAGGAGGTATTACTCTGGGGCAAGGCAAAGGGAGGCTTTCCTTCCTTTCTCCCCACTGAAGCTCTGTGTTTCCTATGGCGCCGAGCTGAGCCCCACGAAGCGCAGCAGCAGAGGGCACTCTGTCCCCGGCTGTGTTCACTCAGAGCTGTCGGCAGCTGCGAAGTCTGGGGTCGTTTTTGTGTGTCTGTGATTTTTATTTTTATTTTTTTAAGGATGCAACTTCTGTTTCTCATTTCCAGACGTATTCACACTTTCCAAGCTCTAAGCCGCTCAGTAGGTGGCTCATCCCAACCTCCCCTCCCTCGGGAGGCGTGCAGGCAGCCCCCAGCCAACAAGCAGTGACACCTGGGGGCTGTGTCACCCCACCATCCCTCATAGTGATGCCCTCAGTGCCTGGCTGCTGCTGTCAGGCACAGCTATTGCCAAGCAGAGCCTTCCTGCTGCCCCTCAGGAGCATCCAGAAGGAACAACCTGTTGCAGTTAGGAGCCCTTTGCAGGGTACAAACTGACCCTCTTCTGCTTTTGCAATGCTCTCACCAAACACTGCTGCATTATGGAGATGTATGTAACGCAGCTCTTCCAAAAAGCACATTTTTCATGGCTTTACTAAAAAAAAACACCTTGCTTCTCCAGAAGTTTTCAGTGCTGCTGTGCCCCTCCTCTGTTCCCTGTGTGGTTCTTGCCATGGTGCTGCTGGGTTTAAATGCAATGAGTAGCAGTGCTTTACTGCTTGCAGGGTTTGGGGAGAAGCATTTGGTTCTTTCCATCCCAGTGCTACCTGGGAGGGCTTTCCCTGCCCTGCATTTAGGTGGGGGTTTTGGGTACACACATCCCCACTGCTTCCACCACAGCCACCGCTGTGCCATGCTCACTTGTCCCAGTGATTTCTTACCACCAGGCAGACCAGGCGCCCCCCAGCTGAGCACAGGGCAGGCAGTTCATCCTGGCATTGCAGAGAAGCCCTCAGTGTGTGGGATGTGACAGCTGTGGGTTCTCAGAGCTGCGCAAAGCCCTGGAGCAGCAGCAGAGTGCTTTGGGCACGGCCAGGACTGGTCAGTGTGCAACCCAGATGGGTGCAGTGCTTCCCTACTTCTGCTTTTCTTATCAGGGAATTGGAAGTAAAAATCAGAATGCAAATCCAAGAAGCAGAAATGCTAAGTCAAGGCCGGAAGCAGTGATGGAGCACCTGGTGAGAAGGCAGGGTCAGCTCAGGTGCATCCACCCCTTCCCAGCCCTCATTTAAGGGTTGGCAGTGGCAGTGAGGATATTTTGCTGGAGATCCCTGCATATGTGAGGCCTTCTAAGGGTAAGTAGCTTTTTTTTTTTCCTTTGTTTTTGTGCCCACATTGAGCACACCCTCGCTCACCATAACCTTGGACTTTTGTTACTCTGCTCTCCTTGCTGAGTTTATATTGCATTATAGCATTGTATCCCTGTTTGGACTGAAGTTTAAGGAAGAATCACGATGTTAGACTTAATTGCATCTTTCATGAGTACCAACATTTACTTGCTACAGAACAAGTGGGACAGATCTGTTCCACTGCCTTGGCTTTGCAGCACTGCCACAGATGATTTCAGCAGAACCTCCATGGGGCACAGAGGTGGGCATTCAGCCCTGGTGGGGTTTGTTTGGCAGAGCTGTAACGTGCACAGCTCCAGGCTGTGGGTGCACAGCGGCAAAACAGGGCTGTTTTCTCCCCTCTGTCCCAAGCTTTGCTTTTCCAGCAGAGAGCGCCAGATACTGAGAGGAGCAGCACTTGAAGAGATGCACAGCGCAGGACAGGCAGAGGTAGGCACGGTGGGCTCTCACTGCTAACACCATCAGGCTATTTTTAATGTGATTTGGGAGGAATTCTGTGAATTAAAGGAAATTGAGCCAGCATCCATTACAAGGAAGATAAGCGATCATTTTCTAGAGGTTTTTAAGCACTGGTGTCAAAATGTGCCAAGATAATTCCACGTTTCCTGGCAACATAATTTACTACAGGGAGCAAAAGCCTTTGGGTTTGATTCGATGCTGTGGGTCATGCGAGGCCTGAATTCAAGTCCTTCACTTGTGTCATCAGTGCTTGAGAAATCAGATCTCTGATGGATGACCTCTGTGTGGTGCAGCACTTCCCTGTCTGACTCCCTCTCAGAAATGGCTCCTCAGACTGCCAGCAAAACTTCCTTTGCAAGGGTGAAGGCATGAGAGAGGCTGAGCTGCTGCTATAATTACTAAGTGAGGAATACACTCTCCTTATCTGTGGCAGTGTATTTTAGCAGTGCTGTTTCAGCCCTTCCCACGACCTGGAAATCTCCCTCTGTGCACCATTCTGTATCTATTCCAAATTTCCTTTCATTCTGACTTGCTGCTTGGCACTGTGTGATCACAGTAATGCAGTTCCCACTCAGCCTGTACTTAGAGCCCCAAATTGCCCACATCTGTCAGCTGCTGTCCCGTGCTCCTCAGTGCAGCTGTGCTCCCTGCCCTGCTGGATCCTCCCTTGCTCTCTTGGAGCTGTATGCTGGAGTTGCTTATCTACTGCTGGCTCCAGGCCTCCCAGCTTCAGCTGCAGACAGCGATGGGCTCCCCAGGGATTTCACAACTCTACCCTATCGTGGGGCTGATGTGTGCTTTGCTGCTTGGCAAGTGCTCGAAAATGAGTGCTTGGAAAACCCTTAAAAGCACTGCAATGCTAATTCTTTTTAGAGCTGTGGGAGGATTCTAGGTTGGGTGCCAAGGTGCTGGCTTCGAGTATTTGGTGCCAAAGCACACCAAATGCAAATGGAAGTTCTGGTGGCTGTGTCAGTGCTTGCCTGCAGCTGCCAGCAAGGTGCTGGGCTGTGTTCTGCCCTTTGTCCCTACCACCCTTCCATAGGGCGGTGAGGCAGGGGCACACATTGTCCCACACAGGTGGAGACACCTGAGCTCAGGCTGGAGGAGCTCTGAGCACCTGATGGAGCTGGGGGGGGGTCCCTGTTGGTTGTAAGGAATGGGACCAGATGGCCCTTAAATGTCCTTTCTAACTCAAACCATTCTGTGATTCTATGGCGACTGCAGTGCCAATGAACACAAGGCTGCGTGTGCTGATTTCACTGCAGAAATAGCCCTGAGCTCTTGACAAACACAGAGCTGGTGCAAAGATCAGCCTGACCTCGTGGCCACAGCCCTGTGAGTGAAAAGCCCACACCATGAAGAGAGTCACCCTTCAAGCACAAAAGAAAAACAAACCAAAAAAACCCACATATATTGGCAAGGCCGTGGAGAAATCCCCTTTCCTGCAATGGTTTTGAAATCTCATGTCAGGATGCAAACACAGGCAGTGCGGCAGCTGTCATCAACCAGAGAGCTGCCTGATGATTCCCAAATGCAGTTCCTGCTGATTTGCTCTGGGGCTTAAGGTGCTGCCCCAGGGACAGAGCTTTCCTGTGGAGCATCCCCCTCTGCTTCAGCCCAGTATCTGTGGGAGTGCAGGAAAATAGCCTTCCATACTAAGAAAAGGGGCTCCTCTCCCCAAGCTGCCAAACTGTGCTGACCCTGTGTAAGGCCCTGGGATTGCTGAGCCCCCTGGGGGCTCTCTGCTGACAGGGGAAAGGAAACACTTTATATTATCAGTTCTATCATCCTGTGTAAGGTTTGTTTCCTCTGTGCTCGAGGAGGTGATCAGCGGCGGAGGAGATGGGGGCTGCAGCGGTGTGGATTTACCCTCTGCTGTGCGAATGTAGGGCAGGAGATGCACATCTGTGGCAGCATCTCTCTGTCCTTTGATTTTATTTTTTTTTTCTCAGCGTCTCCATTTGCCTCGCAAGAAGTCAAATGTAGTCTAAATGCTCCCTAATAAAAATCATGCTGAATTTCTTAGCCCTTTTTCTCCCGTGGTGAGTTTATAGTCTAACACAGGATGTCTGTTCTTCAACTCATGTCGGAGAGAGGAGGTGAATGCTCTGCTCCCAGCGTGTCCTGCAGGCGCTGAAATGAGAGCTGATCAATTCTCTGACTTCAGAAAAGCCCACGGGCTGTGATGGTGGCTCTTCCTGCAAACCCATCAGGGCAGAGCCATCGCAATCAGAGCGCCGGCAGCAGCAGCTCTTATGGGGCTGTGGTTACTTCTGCAGAGGGATGATGGTCCCTCGGCTTTTGCATTGTACTTTGGTTTGTATTTCATCTCTTGGAGCCTCTTTGAGAGATTAATTTGCCTTTCAGGGAAATGTGTCATTAGCGGATAGCGCAAGGAGATTTCGGAGCCATGGGATGACTTGTTGCTGTGTGTATATGCTCAGATCTCAGACAGGAAACATCACAGAAGAGTTCATTGCTTGCTAAAGTGCACAAGAGCAGGCAGCAGGGCGGCATCGCTTTGGCTCTGGCAGAGATAACCTGGAGTTATGCTTATTTTCAGACAAGTGTCCAGGAGTAACTGCTCAGCGACCAAAAGCCTCCCTGAAGGAGCACCCAAGGTGATATTCTGGGGTACAGACCGTGCTCAGTCATGCTGGAGCTGTGACAGAAGCCACCGCTGAGCCCTTTGATCCTGCAGGGAAGAGCAGCAGCGTTAGCATCGCCTAACATCCATGCTGACAGTCGCTGGATCATTCACAGCGTGGGAATGAGTAACTCGGGAGGGAGGAGAACTGTGCTGAGATCCTCAGCTCTCTGCCCACTCTTTGGAGGAAGGTCTTGTTCAACGCTTTGCTTTTCCAAAGCACGTGTATCCTTGGTGTTTCTGAATGTCAGAATGTCAATTCTTGGGACAAGCAGGCTGTGCTGTGCAGGGGGAGGTGCACTGTGTGAGGCGTAGGGCTAAGCTCACAGCCAGGTGCCTCACATGCAAAAGGAAGAGGCATGGGAAGCATCCTGTCCCCGAAGGGTTGCTGTCCAAATTTCCCATTACAAAATGATGGTGTAACAAAATCTATGAGAAGATTGGAATACTGAGCAGTGTGCAGTCCAGCAGAGGGTCTGAAATGCAGCAAGGGATGCCAGTGGTGGGCAGCCCTGAATCTCACTGTGTTCAGGAGCACTAAGTGCCCTGTACTGAGCCGAAGACCCCACTGCCACCAGCACCCACATGTATTTCCATTTAGTTCTGTTTTCTAAGGCTACCAGGTGCCAACCTGTCCCTGCCACAGCAGACAGCAGCGGATGCCCAGGGCAGCCTTTGAGCAGCATGGACTTGCTGGCGTCTCAGCACAATTATGAAGTCTCCATCTCCAGAAGGCAACAATATCCTCTTGTGCTGCTTCCTTGTTTTTTTGTTGCTGCAGCCTTTTGGGTTTCATTGAAATGCTGCCACGACTGGCACTGAGTTTCTCAGACACTGTGTAGACACCCAGAGGATGAACCCATGGTAATCATTTTATTAATAATTATATCCAGGCTTAAAGCCTTTAAGATAAAGCAAGAAATGAAGCACGTGGACTCCAAGAGCCACAGAACTGAGCTGGTGGGAAAGCAAAGCAGGCAGTGTGGTTTCCTGGAAGGAAAGCCGTGCTGCTCTACAGCTGCTGCAGGAATAGTGCTGCTACAGCTCTGTGTCTCCTGGGCAAGAGCAAAAGAAGTTGCACACGTAGTTTGGTCTTAAGAGCCCAGCTTCCAGCTGTAAGTAAATTCCTGCTGCGTTTTGCTGCTGCCTGCTTTTGGGTGCTGTCTAAGCCCCGTTGTGCTCAGTAGTTGTTTTCACCACTTTCTTAAGGAAAAGATGGTTGGTCTGAGGGCAAAGCACCTGTCACAAAAATCAGGCTCATAACGCTGCTGCCAGGTGGAGGGTTTGGGACTTAAAGTTCTGTGGGCCTTTTGTAGCAAAGCTCTGATCTGCTTGCAGTGGGGCATGGGCTGAGGGAGGAGCTGAAAGCACAGCGATGGAGGATCCTCAGAAAGAATGCACATTTCTAACAACGTGTTTGCTTTAACAAAGGTTTATTGATTACAGCACTTTAGGTTTCGTTTCTCTTTAAGCTCCCAAAACTAGGGCACACCACAGTACAGCAGGTTATTACCTCCTCCCTGCGGAAGGGATCAGCTTTGTTAGGCAACATCCGAACTGATGGCATCGCAGCAAAGCTCAGCAAGCAATGTGGTTTGGGGCTGCCCTGTTTTGCCATGAGCCCCCTGTGTGCTTCTGGCCCTCTGTTGTCCTCATCCCTGCATGCAGTGCCTCTGACACCACTAGTATTGGTTGTAATGGCACTTGGCTGATGCCTCTGTGATTTTCTTTTTATCATAACTATATCCATTGTTTGTTTATTTGTTTTTTTTAAGTCTATCACTGCAGCCAAAGGATTGGATTGTTGTAAAGGATTGTAGCAGCTGAGGTAAGAGCTTGGTGCTTTCATTGCTTAGACCCAGCCACGCCATCGGCATCACCTCTGCTTGGTTTCTGATGTGGAAGCAGAGATCTGGGGAGGTAGCAAGGACTGTGAATGAACACAGATTGCAGAACACACCAAGGTAGTTTCCTCTCTCAAACTCCCCTTGTCTCCTGATCCTACTGCTGAGCCCCATGCTTACCCTGAGTTGGAGATTGCAGGACATAAATAACAGATTTAGTATCCAATTATACAGCTCTGGGCTCAATGAATCCCTGAGTAAGCCTCTAAGCATTATTTTTTTATATAAATATATTTTGATTACTTCACTTCTCACTGTCCTTCATGAAATGTCATTTGTTTTACCTGCAGAGCAAACAGACTCCAGACTGAGAACACCCACTGTGGGACAGTGTTACTCCATAGGACAACCTATGGGTTCCAGGTCTCATCAGGTCCCCACGATCCTCATCACCAAGCCAACAGCATCATGAAACAGGACAGATTTGTGCTTCAAAACACAAGCCCTGGCTTCCTGGTTGTTGGAAGGCTTTCAAACCATTTGTGTTGGAGGGTCTTCTGCCTGGTATTGACCACTACTTTGTTCTCGTTGCAGATCTGTTGGACACGCTGAAGAATATTTTGTAGTAGATGTAGACATTGACAATCCTGAGAAGGATGCCCAGGAGGTAGCTGAGGGCTCTGAGGAGGGCTGCAGCCCCGCTGGAGAGGGGGAGCAACCAGACAGCGGGGCTGCAGGATGGAGAAGTGCTGCTGGCCTTCAGGACATCATCAACCTGCAGCAGGATGCACTCGGCAGCAACCAGCAGCCAGATGGCCCTGGAGGTCAGCCTGGCATTTCTCACTGTCCGCAGGCTGCGGGACTCCGTGGGGAAGAAGGTGATGAGGTATGCCTCCATGGCCACGCAGCTGAGCAGCAGGGCGCTGATGTGTGTGTTGGCCACCAGGAGGTTCTGCAGCAGTGCTGGTGTGAATGCTGTGCGTGGGACAGCAACGCTGGAGGTCCACAGGAACAGCTCAGCAACAGCACTCACAGAAATGAGGAGGTCTGCTTTTGCTAGGCTGGAGATGAAAACTGCAGTGGATTTGGAGGAAACTCTGGAGGACTGCAGGATGAGCATCACGTACCCACTGCCCAGCACACCCAGCAGGGTGCTGATGGCGTTGGAAGATGACAGGACGAGGTACTGGATGTACTTAAGCACCAGGTATCTTCTGAAATCCTTCATGTGGTCTCTCTCCCTGGAAATGCCAGCTAGGGAAGAACACCTGGAATGCATATAAAGAAGGTGGTTACGTGTAAGACTGGTGGGATACATTCCAGACAAATGTCACGTGCTTGTACAGACTCCGTGCTCACTGCAGCACTGCTGTGGCGTTGGTTGTTACCCAGAATTGCAGTCATTCAGTACGTGAAATCCTCAAAGTGCATCAATTATGAAAGAAATGGCCTGCAAACCCAGGGGATCCTAGCATCTTCTCGTAATTAATGCAAGGAACTGTAATGACTCCAGGCAAATACTGGGAAACCAAGGTCAGAATAGTGCTACTTCCATTATGCAAGTTGTTGTATTTTTTTCTAGCTTGCCATAGTGAGCCAACAGGCTGGCAGTGAAGTTCATTGCCTTTGAAACTGGATGAAGCAATTTCAGAGATATTCATGGTTATCACTGAGAAGTGCTTAAAGACAAATGGGAAAAGCTCCAGAATACTTGGAGAAGAGAAGCAGGCCCTGCCCTGAGGGAGCAACAAGAGGGGCTCCTTCCCAGCAAACTGCTGAAGTAACCAAACGTCATCTGAGTGATGGAGTGGAGACAAGGAAACACAAGGGGGATTTCTCACAGGTGAATCATACTGAGTTGGCTGAGCTCCTTCCTCTAGCAGGGTGATAGAGCCTGGGGGGAGAAAGCAGTCAGCAAGAGTCTTCTATTTGTGTATCTATATGAAATTCAAGATATATTCATCTTGGATTTTGTTAAGACTTCCAACATTGTTTATGAGGCATCATACAAAGGAGTAAGCCAGGCAGTGCAGGCTAGGAAGAGCTACAATTAAGTCATGCCTAGAGGGGTGGAAAAATGAGAGGCTAATTATCAGAAATTGTAGGAATGATGTATCAGAGGAGGATCTGCAGAATAAGGAGCAGAGCTCACGCTTATTGAGTTAGCTTATGAAGTCTGCTGTAACACATGAGCAAGAATGCTGTAACCATTTGTGAGGCCAGCAGTTTGAGAAAGGTATCGACTGCTGGCAGTGTTTGATGTGGATTGAAGGTGATGAAAGAAAGCTAAAATGTGATTCAGAGTGGAAGGAGTCAGCATTGCACAGCCTGGATTAGAAGAGATGCTCATTTGTCAAACTGCCCTGATGTCAATTAAGAGCACAGACGAAGGAAATGGCATTGCTGCTCCCCCTGGCAGGAGCGCCCTGGGGCTTGTACTGCATGCAAGGCTTTTCCTGCAGTTACTCAGCAGGACTGGGTGGCTGCTGTGGTTCCTGCCTGATTTTTGTTTGCATGAGACAATGCCAAAGTGATAATTCTGTGCAATTCCTGAGAAAGGCACTACACGAGCCAGCATCTGTAAGGATGGGATTCCTGTTGCTTGTTGAGGCTCAGTTGCTCATCCAGGTTGACTCATCCAAGATCCATGAGCACCTTTTCTCTTCTTTTATGTACCTGAGCCAACCTGGGGGAATCCTTTGCTGAAGAGGTAGGAAAAACTCAGCTGTACTGGGGCTGAATTGGGATCGGTTCATCTTACCCTCGTTTTCCACATTTAACTAGAAAAAAAATCTGTGTTTTCTGTCAAAAGCAACATTTCTCTGTAGTTCAGGGCTCTTTCCATTGACACAAGGGTCTCTGCCAGCTCAGTCCTTTACAGTCCACTAACCTGCCAAGATGTGGCATTGCCTCACTGCTGATGGAAGGTGAAGAGGAGGGTTGGTCACTGAGCGTTGGTTTGACCACTTGGATAAAAAGCATTGCTGGAATGAGGATCTGCTGTTGGAACAAGCCCTCCTAGCCTGCAGTGTGGAAGCTTGTCCTTCTGGCTAGTGGTGGAGGAAAACCAAACTGTGTTACATGTAGCTGAGCTCTGCTTTGTTCTGTTACTCAAGGAAGTTCCTCCTTGTTGGGCTGGCTGCTGGAATCATTAAGGTTGGGAAAGACCTCTAAGATCATCAGGTACGTTAAGGATGCTTTTTTGACCATAAATTCTTGCGTGATGAAAAGTCCCTGCGACCTGGCTGCTGCGTGCAGGAGATCAGTGTGTTTGGCCAGAGGTCTTAGGCTGAATTCAAGGCCGTGGTTCCCAGAAGGAAGGCAGCAAACAAATCAGAACTGGTTTGGGCGGTTCAATGAAGTGTGGGAAGTGTGCAGCTCCTTGACCTGGGGTTTTACATCTCCTCTGGAGAATGTGGAGATAAACATTAACTGGAAAATAAACTGAACCAGAAGGAAGGCTTGTCATCAAACCAGGCTGCTTCGATCTGTCTGTCCATTCAGGAATTTCCTCCATCTTTTTTTTTTTTTTTTTCCCATGTGAGTTTGAAGGAAAGTGACCCCCAGACTGGATTTACAGCAGATCTTCATCACGGCCAGGTGAAGCATTTCAACACTGAGCTCCTGAGCACTGGGTTCTGTCCTTCACCCTGGGATCCGGTGATGAGCCACGGCCCCTCCCAATGATGGGTGCTGCCCAGGGATGCTGAGCAGCCGGTGCAGCCGGGGGCTGTGCTCAGAAGCAGCCAGACCAGATGCTCAGGAGTGTTTTTCACATCTCCTCTTCCTGAAAGCTTTACATAATGCTGCGTTCCACATAGGGTTGAAATGGGCTTTGGAAAAGAGTTGCGGTTTCCTAAAGGGTGATGCCTTCCCACTGTCCATCTGAGATGTGCCCAAGGTATCCCTCCTGCCCTGGAAGATGGGGCCCTTGTGGTTGCCTCTGTCTGCTCCTTACGTGCTGCGATTTGGTGCTTTCAGCTCCCACCCAGAATGCAGCAGAACGAGGTTCCGTTTCCTCCCTTGCCTTGGGCATTGGGGTGTTTATCTCTCAGCAGCTGGCTGTGGGTGGGAATGCTTCTCCTTCTAACTGAAGAACCCGGCAGAAATCAGGCAGTCCTGGGGCTGGGAGAGCTCCCAGTGCTTGCTCCAAGTGCTGCCAGGATGCACTGCTCCAGTAAATGGAGCAGAGCCAGGTGACATCGCTGGCACACTGCTGCCCAAACCCTGCCAGCTGTGAGCTCAGGGCTCTCCAACAGCTCCTCATGGTTCTGTCCCACATCACCCAGTGCTGTTTGGGGGCAGTGCTGTTTGGGTAGGTTCTGTTTGCACTGTTTCAGACAAAGCCTCGGCCCATGGCACATCTCCATCCATGGTGGTTTTTTCTCCATGCCGAAATTGTCCTCCTGAGGTGCTTCACAAATTCCAGTGAACAGTGACTTCCACAGTCCTTGTTCTGTCCTTTCTATGTCGCTGTAACCTGCGAGGCACGTAAAAAATATCCACTGCTCTCAGGCAAAGACTTGTTCCAAAACTCCTCTTGGAATCGTGCCTGAGAACACACAGAGGAGGAGAACACCCAAAGCACCACCGACCGCCCTGACTGCCGTGGGCTCCACTCCACTTCCACTCCATTTAAAAGCCAAAATACTTACATTTGCTGAACAAAGCAGCCCGTGCTGGCTTTCCCCATCACTGTGTGCTGTGTGTGATCCTCAGCAGTGTGCCGTTCCCTTGGCTCACTCCCTGGCTTTTATAGATATCGCCGTGCTCGCACCACGTCAGAGCGGGGTTTGCCTTGCCAGGCACCATCCCAGGGTGATTTCACAAGAGACGTCGCCTGAATCACGGCAGTATGAGGAGCCTCAGCACTTTCAGCCGTCTGGAAAAACTGATGCCCCGTGTGGCAGAGGAGTCCCAGACGCTTCCTCAAACACACGGCCACAGCTGGAGCGCATTACGGGGGAGCGTGGGCTCACGGTGTGTGAGCTTCCACACGCTGGCTGTGAATATGAGTTTCTTGTGAGCACTGCAATGTAGCTGGTGCAGCACAGCAGCCAGCCTGACCGGCATCCCGGTGTGTGTTTGTGTTGGTGTTGCTGGGGTTACCTGGGTGTGATGCGGTGACGCTGACATCGGCCTCCACCTGTTGTTCTCTGGGGGTGACACGGGTTGAGCAGAGCGTATTGATGTGGGTGAGTCCTGTCACAGGGCTCGGTGTGGAGGGGGAGGAGAGAGGTTTCCCTCAGACACCGCAGATAATAGCAAATCCCACTACAATTCCTTCTCTGAAAGAGCTGGTGATGCACCAACACAGCCTGCCCAGGGAGGGGGGGCACCTGGAGGTGCTCCGGAACAGCAGGGATGTGGCACTGAGAGATGTGGGCTGGGGGTCTGAGGGGGCTTTTCCAACTGGAATGATCCTATGAGCACACAGCATTGCTCCCAAACACCAGGCTCACGCTCAGAGCTCCTGCATCAAAGTGGGGAATTAAAGGCGCTGATGAAGGCTGTGCTGCCTTGTGCCATGCAAGCCCAGTATTGTGCTTTGAATTTTGTTTGATTTTGTGTTTGGTTTCGATAAGAACGAGTTCATTGTGCTGCAGGGGTTGTTACTCTTTGCAGCAACCATCCCCATTACATGTGAGCATTTTGCTTGTCAGGGTGACAGAACAGAATTTTCAGCTGTGAGACCACGAATCCTGCAGTGAGTCACACACTTCCCCAGCACCCTCCCTGTTCACAACCTCTGCCCGTTGCTTGAAAGAAAAGCAAACCCCTCCGCTCCTCCCAGCACCGCAGTGCCTCCCCCAACCTGCAGCCCCACTCACCTCACACCCCCTGGATCCACTCAGTGTCCCCTCCTGCACCCCAAAGAAGCCCCAGGAGGCTGCCTTGCACCGACCTGCATGCCAGCACGATGATTTCCCATGCTTTTCCATACCCTGTTTGCTTTGTGCTGAACCCTTGTTTGAGTGCTTGGCCAGCTCTGTACATTGGTTAATGCTGTTCTTCTCCTTTCTTTCTTTTTTTTTTTTTTCCCTTGGAGTCTGGAATACAATTAGATTTCATTAGAATTCAACAGGAGGTAAGAAAGCATCAATTTCTCTGCCCAAAGTTCTCCTCTTTGCTTTTTGAACCAAAGCACTTCCAGCTCTGTTCTGCTGCCTGCTCCTTCTCCTCTCTCACTGCTGACCCTCTCCCCTTCTTCGTGATGCCCCCCCTGGGGGTTCTGCCCATCCCATACCCATTCCTGGTTTCTTCCTCTTCATTCCATGCAGAGTTCATTTTTGAGGCAATCCGGTGGAATAACAGCTCCTGCATTGCTCGGGTGTTGCTGAGGTTTTTTCCCAACATTCTTGAAGATTTTGAGGAAGCTGTTGGAAAGCAGTTTTTGTTTCCAATAACGCTGCAGCTCCGTTCTGTGAAATGAGTCCAAATTTCTGTTCTTTGGTGGTTAACCCTTCCTCAGGTCATGCCAACACCTCCATTCTCCATACATCTTCCTTGCCCCCATGGGATGTGCACACCTCAACCCAAACACACCCTGAGGAGCAGCATTATGTCTGTGCCTGGGTAAAGGAAAACATGGAGGATAAGGAATGGTTGTTTTCTCTGCTTCCTTGCCTCTGTTCTCCATTTTTGCAGTAAGTTCTAGGGCTGCACGTGTCTCAAATGAATTAATGGCTCCTTTTTGCACAGCTGATAGGACAGGTTTCTCTATGGGGGAACAGTGAAAAGATTTATGGCCTCGTCTCTTCTGCCTAAGGAATTGAATGGATCAAGATAGGAGGTCAAATGGACAAAAATGGTGGTGAAGCACGGAAGTGGAGGAAGAACTGAGATGCATGAAGGTTAATGCAAATCTCACTTGGTTTTGGCTTACTTGCTTCCTTCCTTTCTGCCTAACCAGCATTTCTAATTCTGAAACAAGAGCAGAGCATTGGGAAATGCCTCCCCCAGGGCACAAGCAGCAGGAGAGGAGATTCCCCTTCATCCCTGCAGCTTTGGGAATCTCCTGCTTGAAGCTGCATGTTCTCAGCTGATGCCTTTTCCAAGTGAAGATGCAGCAGCCCTGCAGTGCTGGGATCACAGCCCTGGGCTCTGCTCTATGCTCTGTGCAAACTCCTCCCAGCACTCACACCCATTTCTTCCCGTTCATCATGTGGTTTTCTGCACACTCACTGCTATGTGGGGCCCAGAGAAACAGAGCAGAGTTATTTGCTGCAGTTATTTGTCCAGTGCTTTGTCTCAATTCCATTTTAATGTCTCCTTGTAATGAGTTTTCTCCCTCCTCCAAGGCCCAATCTGGGAGATCTTGAGAGTGCTGACACAGTGGAACAGGTTGCCCAAGGAGGCTGTGATGCCCCATCCCTGCAGGCATTCAAGGCAAGGCTGATGTGGCTCTGGGCAGCCTGGGCTGCTGGTTGGTGACCTGCACACAGCAGGGGGTTGGAACTGGATGAGCATCATGGTCCTTTTCAACCCATCCTGCAGATGTCTTTCTGATAAGCATCCCCTTGTTACTCGCCTTCACTTACTTCAGTTATCATTTATTCTGTGTTTTCTCCTTACTTCTAACTTTCTTGGTGGCATTTTGTACTCACATACTGAAGGATTTGCAGATTCAGTCATCCAGTCCAACTTGTGTCATAAAATGGGTGAAGGGTTTTGGCTTTGTTCTCTGGGATGGGATGTGTGGGACAAACAGGAGGAATCCATGGTGATTTTTCACCAGATTTTCCAGGAAAATGAGAGCCAAAGCCATCACCATCTGCAAGATGTTATCCCTGATTAAGGGAGTCTCAACGTCAGGCCGAGATACGCCAAGATTTACTTTCCTCCTCTCTTCTGCATTTCATAAACAGCTCAATGAAAAGTCTTTTGAGACTTTCAGTTTCATCTCAGATGGTTCTGACATTCCATTTCCCATAGAGATCAAATCAGGGGAGGCATTGAGAGCTCGTTGTTTTGCAGGCTGTTGGGTTTGCTTTCTGCAGAACACCAAGGGCTGTCCAGCTGGCGTTGAAACCCTTTGTTCCTTACACCTGAGTTCCTCACCCAGTGTGAAGCATGTGACAAAGGCAGACAAACCACATCCACATCCCCCAGATGTGCGGCAACACAGAGGCTGAGCTCACTTCTGCAGTCTCAGGAGGAATGGTGCTGAGCTCTGGAGCAGCACCCTCTGTCCCTTCCACGTTGTCACAGAATCACAGAATCACCCGGGTTGGAAGGGACCTCAAGGATCATGCAGTTCCAACCCCCTGCCCAGCAGGGCCACCAAACATCCACATTCAGATCAGGTTGCCCAGGACCCCGTCCAACCTGGCCTTGAACACGGCCAAGGACGGGGCATCCACAACCTCCCTGGGCAGCCCGTTCCAGGCCCTAACTACTCTCCTTATGAAGAACTTCCCCCTAACATCCAACCTAAATCTTCCCTCCTTCAACTTGGATCCATTTCCCCTCGTCCTGCTGTTGTCAGCCCTTCTGAAGAGTTGACTCCCCTCCTGGCTGTAGGTTCCCTTCAGGTATTGATAGGCTGCAATGAGGTCACCCCGCAGCTTCTCTTCTCCAGGCTGAACAAGCCCAACTCCCTCAGCCTGTCCTCATAGGGGAGGTGCTCCAGCCCCCTGCTCATCTCAGTCGCCCTCCTCTGGACCCTTTCCAAGATCTCAATGTCTTTCTTGTCCTGAGGGCTCCACACCTGGACACAGGACTCCAGATGGGGCCTCACAAGAGCCGAGTAGAGAGGGACGATCACCTCCCTGTCCCTGCTGACCACCCCTCTCCTGATGGAGCCCAGGATCCCATTTGCCTTTCGAGCTGAAAGTTGTCGAGTTGTCGTTACTTCTAGCAGCAGACCAGGGCAGTGTGAGCTCCTCTTGGAAGCAGTAATGGCCACAGAACTTCCATTCACCCAACGCTCCAGGGAGATATGAACTGGGATTTAGCCATACCACTGGGAGCAGTGGGTCTGTGCAGTCCCTGCTTCGTCTCAGGCATCCTGGCACCCCATCATAGTGCACTAAAAGGAACGGCTTTGTGTGCCCACAGCCTCC